TATAAAATAAATGTTAGATAACTGCTAACGGTCAGAGATAACGAAGTAAAACTAACTGATCAATCAAATTGGCCCCCACGTGATCAGTAACGTCATATACAAAATATAGCTTTGGTTTATTGGTTCCTTAGCAGTGGCGTAGCCAGGATTTGGTGACCGGGGGTTCTATTTTTATGTTATTCACAAATCCCCCCCCCCCTTCATTAGGGTTTCTCAAATAATTCAATTTGTACAATTACACTCCCTCCAAAAGTTTGGCAATCCTAACTACCCCATTGGATTATGTATTAAAGCATCTTTAAGTTTGAATTCTTATTTGCATAATTTGTAAAGAAAAAACTATTTTGGGAGGGGAAATATAATTCATTTCAATACCTTCATTAAAGGCAGAATCTGATCTATAGGGGGTGATAAAATTACAAGCAACTTGTATAATTGACCTTCCAATCTATTCCTTACAATATCAAATACAATACATCCCAAAAGATTCACATCATGTTATAAATTGGTGAAGTTATGAATGATTCAAAGTGCAAAAATGAGTGAAAAATGTTTAAATTCTCCCAAATAATTTAGAATAAGAATAATAACTAGAGGTTTAAGATTGCAAGCAATCTTAAGGAGGCCCTGTAGGCGTTTTTGGCAATTTCAAGGTCAGCCAAAGGTCAAATCTCAAATCTAGGGTCATATATTAACACCAGGCAACTTGTAGATGATTTTTAAAAAAAAGTTTGGTCAATTTGAAGCAAGTTGAAATTTAGTCTTGAAAAGTTTGGAAATTTGACCTTTTTTCAGTTTTTGAGTCCTAATATCTCAAAACTGGTACACAATTTTAATAAATAGTCAATTGCTAATATGTGTAGAACCTATAGAGGAATATATATCCTGACTTTCATGAACAAATATTGATTTGTAGTCACCAAAACTTAGAAACTTCGAAAACACAGTTGGTGATTTAATTTGAAGACTTTGACCTTTGATCTTGCAAATTTTACTTTAATTGACCTCAGTTGGTCTTTTGTGATCAAATATACCTAAATTTGAATCAAGAAAATCGATTTAAAAAATCAACTTTTTTTACCTTCCGAAGGTCACTGAAGGTCAACCAAAGGTCAAAGGTCAAAAGTAAGGTCAGATTTGGATTTCTGAGATCTTGTAGATGCTTTTTAAAAAAAAGTTTGGTCAATTTAGAGCAAGTTGAAATTTAGTCTTGCAAAGTTTCGAAATTTGACCTTTTTTCAGTTTTTGAGTTCTAATATCTCAAAACTGGTACACAATTTTAATAAATAGTCAATTGCTAATATGTGTAGAACCTATAGAGGAATATATATCCTCACTTTCATGAAAAAATCTTGATTTGTAGTCACCAATTTTGAGAAACTTGGAAAACACAGTTTGTGATTTAGTTTGATGACCTTGACCTTTGACCTTGCAAATTTTACTTTTTTAGACCTCAGTGGGTCCTTTGGGATCAAATATACCTAAATTTGAATCCAGAAAATCAATTTGAAAAATCAACTTTTTTTACCTTTCGAAGGTCACCAAAGGTCAACCAAAGGTCGGAGGTCAAAATTTAGGACATATTTGAGTTCCTGAGATCTTGTAGATGATTTTAAAAAAAAAATCTGGTTCATTTGAAGCAAGTTGAAAAATGACCGATTTTTGCCGTTTTTTGACGTCAAATATCTCAAAAACGGTAAAAAATTAACGCGTACATATTGTGAGCAATTTGTAGAGAATGCTTATATCTAGTTACATTTTAATTCATCGCAAGAAATAATGAAGTATGAGGAAGAAATCTGAGAAACTTAAAAAAAACTTTGATTTGACCTAGATTTTGACCTTTGACCTTGACCTAGATAAAAAGTTCTTTCCCCCCAAGTTCAGCCAAGGTCCCTGAAAGGTGCATGTAGGAGATGGTTGAAAGGTAGTTGGAAGTAGGAGAAAAGGGTTTAGGAAGAATAAAGAATAATAATAATATCTATAAAATCTATAGGAGGCCCCCTGTCGGGGGGCCTCCTAATAAGAATGGTAACCATTCTTATAGAAAAATAATACATTTTTGTAAAAATCTTTAGTTTTCCTGGAATAAATTATGCACTGTTGTGATTTTTAGAAAATAGACATGACAAGGAATGACATGAGATAAGTCTGGACGTAAAAATGATTTTCAAAAATGACCTTGTAGCTTTGCAACTTTAATGTTCACAAAGTAAAATAAACAGGCAACGTGAAAAAAAGTCAGACAACTTATAATTAATTTTCTGCATCAAAATATACTTCGGGGAATCTTTTACTGAATACATATCCTGAAATCTGATTTGCCCCGAATCCACCATTATTTCGACTGATTTCTGGAAGACCCTGGAGCATGATTTGTTTCCAAGGAATATCAACTATTTCGCACAATTTATTCTTTAACCTACTGTAAGCTACTTCATCTAGGACAAAATAAATCACCTCATGCAATGGCATATCATTATTTTTTGCAATGATTGATTTTTCTTTGGAAAAATGATGGGTAAATAAATACTGAACAAATGAAAGAATGAATAAATTGAACAAATGCTTGTGTTTATAAATGATATATGCTTTTAAATAATTCATTTCACAACGTTTTTAATTATTAATTGGTTTCGGGGACTTGCCAGCCCCAGGGACGCCCCAATAAATATTTTAAATTTTAATCGAAATAAAACCAAACAGAGATGTACACATTTGAAAGAACATGTGTTTCATCAATACTATTACGACTATTCCAGATATTTATTCGCCAATGTTGTAAAAATCATTCGGAGTATGGGACGTCTGCATTGTTTTCAATAACTTTCAATAACTTCGTATTGGACCAGAACTGGCTTAAAACAAAATTCCTACAAAGGACTGATTTAGCCATTGCCCAAGATGGGTTATTTTGTCCGAGATGAAGCATGCCAAACGTTTTGAGGGAAGTGTAACTTCACTATGACATGTTTTTAAGAAAATAATGCTCTCGTGTTCACCATCACAAATATCAATTCATTTACTGCTCATATATGTAGCACAGTAATTTAATGATTCTGGTTATATGCATTTTTCCGCAAAATGATATTTTGGGAAATCATGACCGGGGGTTCATTCGAACCCACCGAACCCCCGCTGGCTACAGCTATGCTTAGTAATCATAACGTCAACGGCAACCATAGGATTGTTGTGTAAACAAATAACAAAACATTTTGGCATTATGACGTCATGATCTAATGGACCAAAAGCAGGCCACGTGGGGACCAGTGAGAGATCACATGGGGGCCAATAACGTCACAACCAATTCGAATATTGCTTATTAAGCAGCTATAACGATCGTTAGAGTGAAATAATTTTCATACAACTGATGAGAAAACATGTCCAAATACATTTATCAAAACATTATATTGATTCCTTAAGGTTAAAAATACCATTTCATATCTGCTTTAAGGTAGTTAAACACCATGATCATAGTATTAAACTGTTAAATTGTAATGATGATCACTTAAAATTGTTAAGGATATTCCTGGCATTAATGTCATACATATTTACTAGTCATTGCAATACATTATAACGGTCATAGTAGGACTAAGCCTAAATTTCTACATTACCACCCTCATACCTGGCCTTGCAATACTATATTACATTGTCACGGTCATACCAGGCTTTGCGATCCCATAATACATTGTCACGGTCATACCAGGTTTTGAAATACACATTCTCATGGTCACTTATAGCAATCATAAAGGACGATTCTCGGTTTGAAGAACAGTCTCCTGGGCTAATAATTTTTTTCATGAAAATATAGAAATATTATCCAAATTAAACTATGAATATTCAAAAGAGGACATTTAAATCTACAAGATGTAAAAATAACAAATTGGTCTGAAGCAGGGATAACGCTCAATTTGACCGATTCAATAAAATACAAGTCTCGATTTGTGGGAAAAAGTTCATCAGTGTACTGCGCTAATATTTTTTTAGATTGAGGAAATTCGTTCTCCAAACCGAGAATCGTCCTTTCTAGATTACCAGTTCTCATACCCGAACTTGGAATACTATATCACATTGCCACGGCGGTCATACCAAGCCTTGCAATACTATATTACATTGGCACAGCCATGCCAGGCCTTGCAGTACTATATTACATTGCCACGATCATGCCAGGCTTTGCAATACACATTGTCACGGTTATAGCAGTCCTAATCGTAAATTTCTACATTACACCTTTCATACCTGAACTTGCAATACTGTATTACATTGTCACGGTCATGCCAGGCCGAACAGAACTATATAACATTGTCACGGTCATGCCAGGCCTTGCAGTACGACAGTATATTACATTGTCACGGTCATGCCAGGCCTTGCAGTACTACATTACATTGTCACGGTCATGCCAAGCCATGCAGAACTATATTACATTGTCACGGTCATGGCAGGCATTGCAATATAAAACAGCATTGTCACGGTTATACCAGGCTTTAATGATAACATTACCACGGTCATGACAGGATCCTTGCGCTACTTAAAAACACTGAATAACATGGTGACGGTTACGCCAGGCGTTAGTCTTGCAACAGATAGGGTCTCGAAAAATGGCGATGTTCGAAAACTGGACGAAATGTCATTAACGTCTGACATTAGTAACTGGCTGTAAAATCTAAGTTAGCAATCCAGAAGATGATTTTATGATTACGACATGACCAGTTGTTCATGCAGGAATATATCTCTACTGGAAGGCCACGATACAGTGGCCTTAGAAATAAATTCCTGCATGAACAACTGGTCATGTCCTAATCATAAAATTTGAAATGATATGTCCGCCATTTTCCACATCACAATTTGAATTGTGAGTTTTGGTCTTATTACCTCACCAAAAATTCCAAAACACACATAAAGTGATCAGTGTATTAGTTCACATCTTCTGGATCGCTAACTTAGAATAGACTAGATGCGAATAGAAATAATGAATACAAAAAAACTTCTGTTTATTTCAGGTGTCAAACCAAAAGGTTCTCTCCAGCTGGAAGTTAAGTGAAAACAAAGGTCATGAAATCACATCCCCAGCAGTTTATAATAAGGAGAGTGGAACATATCACATGGTCATCAATTACAAGGTAAATCAATAAATATAACTTTAATTTTTTTTCATAAAAATGTTATACAGTACGTCATGATTCTTGAAATTCAGTCTTTGTGCAATATTGCAAAGTACTACTAGAGGGACAATGATGATTATGGTTTTGAGTCATGATTTTCAATACATTCTAGAAATAGGCCCCTTATATTGATAATCTTTTCTTCAGGAAATTTGGACTTGGACAGACAACACTAACAATTTAGAGAAATCAAAGAAAATAAAGGTAATGTATTTGTACACAAAGATTTATAGAAATCAGTTGAAACCAAATGTTCTAACTTTTTTAGAAATGTATAAAAGAGATTAATGACAGTTTAAATCTACAGCTTTTTACTTAACTGTGTCCTGTTCCCAATTTTGTGTTTTTTTATCGTACCTAACAAGAGGTACGATATTGTAGTCAGCTTGACGGGCGGCGGGCGGGCGGCGTCTCACTTTTCAGCTTGTCTACAGGTTTCCAGCCAAACCATTTGAGGGGATTCATCTGGAATTTTCAGGGATGTTTCTACATATCAACGTCAAGAACTGATTAGTTTCTGGGCATTCTGGGTAAATTTTAAGGTGGCCATTTTGCATTTTCCGTCCTAAAATCTTCACTTTCAAGACTTGTCTACAGGTTTTGAGCCAAACCATTTGAGGGATTCATCTGAAATTTTCAGGGATGTTTCTACATATCAACGTCAAGAACTGATTAGTTTTTGGGCATTCTGGGTAAATTTTAAGGTGGCCATTTTGGATTTTCCGTCCTAAAATCTTTACTTTCAAGACTTGTCTACAGGTTTCCAGCCAAACCATTTGAGGGATTCATCTGAAATTTTCAGGGATGTTTCTACATATCAACTTCAAGAACTGATTAGTTTTTGGGCATTCTGAGTAAATTTTAAGGTGGCCATTTTGGATTTTCCGTCCTAAAATCTTTACTTTCAAGACTTGTCTACAGGTTTCCAGCCAAACATTTTGAGGGATTCATCTGAAATTTTCAGGGATGTTTCTACATATCAACCTCAAGAACTGATTAGTTTTTGGGCATTCTGGTTAAATTTTAAGGTGGCCATTTTGGATTTTCCGTCCTCAAATCTTCACTTTCAAGACTTGTCTACAGGTTTCCAGCCAAACCTTTCAAATTTTTACATATGTTACACAGTGATAAGTTCTAGAGCTGATTAACTTTTCTGCGGCCATCTTGCTTTCTTGGTCAACAAGACCACAATGCTGTGTTTTAGGTACGATATTGTTCACGTCTGTGCCTTGTTGTTTCTTTTACAACATTGCTGCCTAGCAACAGTGACATAACAGGCTAACATAGTAAGAAAGGTTACCTAAAGGAAAATACAAAAATATCAAAACAGACTTTGTGCCATGTACTATATATGTAATAGCATGTACCACATCATCACTCGCGAGAGAGAATTCAACTAAATTCAAAGATTCTAGCACAAAATTGATAAATGTATCCTTTAAAAAACAATCATCATCTAATGTTAAGTCTTTATCAAAAATAATACGCTCCCCAAGAGACTCCATCAACTTTTGACAACTGATTGAGTGGCGCTGGCAGTGCAAGATGAAATGCCCTCTCACCACAGATACAATGATTCTCAAAAATTCTTGTAATGTGGTATCGATATGTTGAAGTTTTTGAACACACGTTTTTTCTTAATTAAACAAGTAATCAAAAAATTCTAAAAATTTTACACATTGTCAATTAATGGTCATCTTTTGAATGGTGTTAATATACCGTATTTTCTCCAATAAACGCACAGTGCGTCTACCAAATTCTCCTGGAGGAGATGTCTCAAATGACAAAATCCCCGGGGATTTGTGAAAAAAAATTTGGGCGATAATAGGGTGTTTCATGATTTTCCTCTTTAAAACTAGACTCACTCCAACTAGATAACATATTATCATACCTCAATGTTTTCTTCATGCTTTTATCAATCTGCTGAATGTGTTTCCGTGGGTTAATTGGCATTATAATACGCATCAATATTGATGATAAACATCCACTCCAATTGCTCCGAGCAGGCGCCATTTTGGAAATTGACACCGATACCCGAGTCAAAATCTAAAGGCTTCTTGTATCTGAATGGTCCTCATAGTTGGTGAAAATATGTTTTATATCCATATAATGCTACTTAACATTTATAAAGGATTGAATATTTGTTTGTGGGAAAGGGCAGAAGAATATTTATAGATCGGAACTCCCATGATGCACTGCGAGTTTGAGTAATGGCTACGGGCCCGAATTAACGTTCATTGTAGCTTTTAACTCATCACTATAAGGTTATCATGAACGTAGTTATAGCTCATAAGGTTCCTTAGACACGTCTGTAACAGCATTATACTCACAAACGGCTTTATCGATAGCGGTAAGTGAATAATTCAATATTACCCTATTATCGCCCGCTCGAATAAATTATATTTTTTCTTGATTTTTGTTTTTCAAGTTGCCAGTCTTTCTTTGAAAAGTCGGGTGTGCGTTTATTGGAGTGTGTGCCTTTATTAGAGATAATACGATAATATGAAAAAAAAATATACAAACTTTTCTCTTTATTGTTTTAGAAAACACATCAGACACTTCTTTTGTTCTTGGTATCATATGTTCGGAATGAAATGAAACGTCTTTCCGAACCTCATTGAAACAAAACGACATAAACAAAACATATTTAGGTCTCTCAATATTGTAATTGTACAAAGGAAATTTTGGTTGATTTTAAAAAAGTATCTTGTTAATGAAATAAAACCTATTTCTTAATTTTAGCTATTTTGGGGAGTTGTTTTAATTTTTTGAATACTTTTTGTTAAATGAACCAAAGTTTCCTTTGTATAACCAAAATATTGAGAGGTCTAAAAAATGTTGTATATGCTGTTTTGTTCCAACAAGGTTCAGAAAGACATTTTATTTTATTCTCAAAAATTGGTAGATAGGAACAAAAAACAATTGCACTAAAAAACAAAAATTGTTAACAAAAACAGTTATATAAAATATATATAAATAATTTTCACATTAAATTTTTGTCAATCATTGACCATTACATAAAGGACTGTGTTTTTTACAGAATGTTTTAAAAAATTGGTTTAAGAGAAAATCCTTTCTGGGATTTGAAGTGAAGGCCACTTTATATTCTGTTCAAAATAATCTCTTGTTTACAGGTTAGATTAAGTGGTGTTGAAGTCAAGAAGTTTGCTGGTTTTATTTCTGACGTTAGTTTTGAATGTTGACATTTTAGCTATTGCTCTTTCTATTACAGTAAATGAGTTCCATTCTTTAAACTATCTCAAAACTGGGGATTTACGCAAAAGGGCACTTCCTCAATCCAAGATGTTGTTAATGTATACAAGAAGACTATGATAAACAAGAAGTCCTAATGCTCTTTTTCAATCAAATTATCGATGTGCAAGCAAAATGTAAAGAGATCGTGACTGAAGCATCAACTACTTCATTCATTATATAGATTATTATTCCATGCACAAACATAGGTTGTACAATAAAATACAATATAGGTTTCCTCAGGATTTATGTGCATGTACTGTAAAGCTAGATTCTCTTGTTTTGCTTGTAGACATCTTACAAAATCCACAGACTGTTTTCCTTAGAGGGCCATGGTACAGTTGTCTTACTGGAGAATGGTGCAGCCTGCCTTTTATCTGAACTAAAAGATAAACAGCTCATTGGCAGGATCACTGCTGGAGAGACACTGCACTGGTGGCATGTTGGAACTCTGGGACAAACCCTCTATGTACTATTCGTTACTTTAGATACGGTGAGATGGCATCATGATCAGTATATTCTGTTCAGAGATTTAAAGGGATGTTAGTTATCAAAGTTGTTCATTGACATACAGCAACTACAGGTAGTTTAAACCAAAACTTCAAGAGAACACTTTTTTGCCAGATTCATGAATTAATGATTTAAAAATTGTAATTGTGGTCTAATAATGATCCAGTGTGATTCTTCAGTCTGAGTTCCAATGAACAATTAACACATAGTTAATCACATTCCAGTCAATCAGAATATCATATTTAATACTATATGCATTCTAATTTTTTAAGCAGATTGATGGCTATTTTTAGATTTTGTTTATTTGATTACCCTCCATGGTTTCATTATAGTTCTGTTCACTCTGGCTTGGTGTTTGCCTAGTATCAACATTAAAGGGTTGAATTCTGATGGGTCACCCTGTAATTTGAAATGAAGTGATGGGGTTGATAATTCTGTTCTGAGGTGACGTTTTTAAATGTTTGATGAGCCAGGTATGATGAGGTTCGTTTGAATATCTCCTCTACAATTAGATGCACTATTTTCTAAATCATAATTTGATTGCTTCTGACAGGAGGGGAAGGTGAGGCTATATCAACAATGGTTTCCTCCAAGTGGAGCAGTAGAGAATGTATCTCAGCTAAAGAGAGAAACAGATGATAACCAGTTTGTTAGCTGTACCATACAAAATTATAAAGACCAACTTAAGATTTTATCTCTCTGTAAGTATGTATTGTTATTGTGAGTACAGAATATTATTTTGGGTCAGACAATGGTACCTGTTACTATGCTACATGTAGGTTGAGTCTAACAAAGCATTTTTGTAACGAAGATTAGCAAAAAATTGTGTGCACACTGGCTTTATCCAACCCTAATGAAGCAATTATTTGGTGTTACGCTGCACTTTAAATGCTTCGTTGCACGTGCGCATTACTCATCTGCCCCACCCACTTATTTATTATCCCAACGAACGAAGTTCTGTAGGGATATAGTGAAGCCCTCCGTCCGTCTGTCCGTCAGTTGGTCAGTCAGTCCGTCCGTCTGTCCGGAAGATAACTCGAATACTAGTTTACAGATTTTCTTCATATTTGGTGGAAAGATGTATATTGGTGAATAGTTTTACGCCTATATTGTATTTTTTTTCAAGATGGCCACCAGTTTAAAAATGGCTGGAATTTTTCGCAAAAGTCTCATTTTAAACCAAAATAATATATAGAGGATATCCTATGATTTATGAGTGATATGATTTTTATCCACGAATGGATATGATATCTGCACGAGCGAGCGTAGCGAGAGAGTGCAGATATTAATATCCATGAGTGGATTAAAATCATATCACGAGTAAATCATAGGATGTTCTTTTTATTCCATAGTTAAAGTCATCATCAGAATTGTCGGAAATTAAGTCATTTAATTCGAATTTTCCAAACGATCCGGCGATGTTGACACTTAGCCTCGTTTTGAGTCTGAAGTAGCAAAAATCCATTAACCATCGCATACGACGTCGTATGTCATGGCTAAAAAACCGTATGCTATGGTTAAGTGAAAATTTGTCAAAAATATCATATTTTACCACTGATCACAAAAATACCGTTTTTATTTTCACATGTTATCCAATGAATATCATGCTAACTATGGAATAAATATTATTATTTGAAATTTTGGTATTATATTAACAACATCTATCTATTTCACATATATCCCGGGTTTTTCACCCTGACCCCCAGGGGCCGTAAATGGGGGACTGGGAAAACAGGAAATTGCGTTAATTTTGAGATGTTTTTGAAGTATAGCTTTATTATACTCAAATGAAAGGAAATTTAAAGTAGATTGTAAATATTGTAGCGTTTTTCTGATTCGGGCCTCAAAAATTCAAAATGGCTGCCTAATGCGGGATTTCGCAATTATTTTCTGTTCTCTTAAAAGTATGGCTATATTATACTCAAATTGAAGGTATTTCAGAGTAGATCACAATTACTCAGATTCGAGTAGGTAGTTACCAGTTTCGCCATCAGGTGGCTGATTCGGGGGAATTAACATGGCAGGGTATTACAAAATTCCCTTAAACTTGAATATGCATCAGTTTTGGTGGTTCACTTTTCATATTACCTTTATGTATCTGATAGTTATACAAATAAAAATATGTCCAGTAAAAGAATATATTATCTGCCCAACACAAGAAAAAATATTTCACTTTTTGTGGTTTTACAACATGGGGTCTATGGGGAATCTCCCCGACCTAGAAGTCACATTTTCAAAGAAAATTAAATTTTTAAAGTTGATAAAATCTTTTCAAAACCACATTTCTAAATGTAATTTTACATGTAGATTCCAAATATGACATCAGTTTTTAATGACGTAAATCAAGATTATTTCTACTCGCATCTGGGATATTACGGCATTATTTTTCTGATTTGCTCCTCTGAAAATTCAAAATGGCTGACTAGAGCAGAAATTCGCCATTACTTAGAGTTATCTTGAAAGTATGGTTACATGATACTACAATGATTTAGAATATTTATTTGAGGGATATAGGGAACGCCTCCCTCCGTCCATCCGTCCGTCTGTCTGTCCATCCGTTTGTCCGGGAAATAACTCAAATACCATTGGCCCGATTTTGTTCATATTTTGTACACATATACCCTTTGGGAGTAGAAGTTCTGCTCGAAAGTTGATTTTCAAAATGGTCGCTCATTTAAAAATGGCGGCTGTTTTAGTGCCGATTTTACAGTAATTTAGGTGCAATATGTAAAACTGTAATAGCAATATGTTTTAAATGTAAAAAATTATAAAGGACATTAATATAGCTAGAAATATATATGTCAGGCAGTTTTCTCCAAAGCCGCTACAGATATCACATTCAAATTTTCAGGGATAACTTATGAGTGCATACAGATGTGGACGCAAAAATTTTAACTCAACTATATGTCAATAAAAGTTATATAATACGTACTTCCTGTCGGCCATTTTGAAGTCAAATGCTAAAATCTTTGTCTGCAAACTTAGAGAAAAACGACTTCACAGTTGCTTTAAAAACTTTAAAATCTTGTTCAGCTCACTTCAATTTACATCTGATTAGGTTTTGGACCTGTTAGCTCAGTCATGGCAGCCATTTTGAATGTCTTAAGAAAAGTCAGTGTGCGATAATAATTTGTTTTTATCCTTTGTTTTTATCCTTTAACTATTTATTAGTTTTATAGATAATTGCAGGTGTACTACTATAAAAGCCTATGTTATTGTTAACAGTATGTACAGTATGAAAATCTAGATCTGATTAGTTTTTTGGCATTCATGGTAAATGTCAAGGCTGACGTTTTGGATTTTCTGTCCTAAAATCTTGCTTTTGAAGTCTTGTCTACATGTTCTCAGGTGAACCGTTTGGTAAATCAACTTCAAATTTTCAGGGATGATTCTTAGTATGAAAATCTAGATCTGATTAGTTTTTTGGCATTTTGGGTAAATGTCAAGGCAGTCATTTTGGATTTTCCAATTTTGCCCCTTGTTCTTTCACACTGGGATGTAAATAAATAAACTCAACATTCATTCCTGAATCATTTTGCAAAGTGTCTGTGAATAATAGACTAGATGAGAGTAGAAATAATCTTGATTTACGTCATAAAAATATTTGAAATCTACATGTAAAATTACATCTAGAAATGTGGTTTTGGAAAGAGTTTATCAACTTTGAAAATTTGATTTTCTTTGAAAATGTGACTTCTAGGTCTGGGAAATTCCCGAGAGACCCCATGTTGTAAAATCACAAAAAGTGAAATATCTTTTCTTGTGTTGGGCAGATAATATTTTCTTTTATTAGACATATTTTAATTTGTACAGCTATACATAAGGGTAATATGAAAAGTTAACCACTAAACAGATGAATATTCAAGTTTAAGGGAATTTTATAATACCCTGCCATGTTATTTCCCCCGAATCAGTCACCTGGTGGCGAAACTGGTAACTACCTACTCGCATCTGAGTAATTGATCTCAATGAAATATAAGGAAGATCAATATTCAATAGTTTGATACACACTTTTGATTTTGCTATATTTTATGTGTTGCCCTATATCTAGGGTGTCTCAAAAAATGTACCCAAAAGTATATTAACACCATAGACAAACCAATCAATATTTTCAGACATTTTTTGCATGGTCTTGTAGATAAAAGATGAAAGTTTTTTCCCCTATACACAGTTTTTAATTCAGTTTTACCTTTTTGATACTTTAACCCATTACCTTTTACACCACATATTCAATGTTACCTCATATTTCGGTGAAAGTCTGCATCCTTACTACTACATTGTTCATCACATTTGATATTTTTGGTGAAATGTTTTGATTTTTGTTCGGATGCTGGTCTTAATGTGTTCTAGGTCTCTTAGCTTGGGTTTAGCATAAAAATGGTCCTTCAAATAGCCTCAGAGAAAAATGTATGGGCCGTCACATATGGTGAATAGTGAGTCCCTCACAATGTCTTATACCCCCCTTATACAGAGAGGTCAGAGGTTCAAGAAACTGCATTGGTTGGGATTCTAGTGTAGCTTTTGTTGTGTATTTCAATTTGACACCACTGTGTTTTCATTTGGATATCATTTGGTCTCCAGGCTAGCCTGCCTAACTCTGGAAAGTAACTCCTGAATCATTTGCCAATATTTGACCTGATTATCTGTGTTTGCTCTGCCATCGTCATCCTCAAACATCTTTCTCTGTGGCTATTTGAAGGAGTGTTTTAATGCTCATTCCAAGCAAAAAGACCTAGAACAACCAAAACATTCCACCGGAATTATTATCAAATGTGATGAACAATGTAGCAGTAAGGATACAGGCTGTCATCGGAATATGAGGTTACATCGATTATGTGGTGTAAAAGGTAAAGGGTTAAAGCATCAAAAAGACAAGACTGAAATAAAAATGGTGTATTGGGGAGAAAACTTTCATGTTTTGGCTACATGACCATGCAAAAAATGTCTGAAAATATTGATTGGTTTATCTGTGCTCTTGATATACTTTTGGGTACATTTTTTTGAGACACCCTGTATTTGTTCTGCTTCCTCATGATGTAAGATAATACCAAGAAAAGCAATTAAAAAGTCATAAAAGACAGTAAATTATAATTATTTTGAAAAAATAGTAACAGAGTGACAATGATGATGTGAAAGGACTGATTTTTCCTTCAAAAGGCCATTTTCTACATGTCAATAGAATGACCTATATTTTGAAATATAAAGGTCAGAACGACCTAATTTTGGGATTCGATTATCAAACAAAATCCCTCCTTCGATATCCTGTACAATTTATTCCAAATATCTTTGGGGCTAATATAGGGTCTTAAAGATACTCATCCGTTCAATCCAACTTCCGGTTTGGAGGTTATGGCACTTTGAAATCATGAAATGTTGATATGATATCTTTATGTTAAGTCAATGGAGTCGTAAAAAGCATAACTAAAAATCGTCTAAATGTCTATATTCTGGTTGAATCAGCTTCTTTTGGATGACACAGCTTATTCTGGATGACTCAGCTTAAAAAAAGTTTGAAATCTGGAGTCTTGCATTGAACTTGTTCAATTTACATGTCTAGTTATTCTTTCTTTCCAGTTTTCTCAGCTAGTTTTCTCAGCCACTCGAAGAACTTACTTAACTAACTTACATGACTAAATAGAGAGTCTATGTTTGCTGTTGGGAAATTAGGTCAATTTTTTATCTAGGTCAAAGGTCAAGAACT